AAAATCATAGTAGTGACAATCCCTTATATCCTTCCTTTCCAACTTGGGCCAGGCAGAAGCTTCCCTACTGCTTGCATTTTAATGGCCCCACAAAGAAGGGTGATTAGGAAAAAAGGGGAGTGTTTAGCCATCAAGGAGGTGGAGACTTGAGACGACACCATCAATGTTCACATGCACATCTGTCAGAGTGGGCATCAGGAAGCATGTACCTCTGGCACTCCATGAAATGCACACATTTTCCATGAAGGAGATGGGGATCCCAGATGTGTGCACTGATACCAGGTTCAACAAAGCTGTCTGGGCCAAAGAAGTAAGAAATGGTCCATATCCACGTGCATTTGTCCAGAAGATGTAATGAAGCTGAGGGGTCACCAAACAAGCTTTGGGCGTTGGTAACTCATGTCCCTGCTACCACATTCAGAATGTATAGACAGTCAATATGGGGGAAAATAACAGCTGAGTGATCAAATAAACTCCGAAAACTGCAAAGACAAACAGACAAACACCCACAGAGGACTTCTTGGACAGAGAGGGGTTAAGAAGTAGCTGTCACAGCTGCTGCACTGTTTTCCAATCCATTTTCTCCTGGCTTACCTTGAGTAACCTAAAAACCTGCTACCTAAAGACACAGATCTGTTGAGTATTTAACATCCAAAGAATAACTTTTACTGTAAGACCAAGAGATGCCAGAGCCTTAGGACTGCTAATCATCAGGACAGGCAATTCATTCTTCCTATCTATCATCTATCTGTCTGTCTGTCTATCAATCCATCCATGCTTAATAAACAACACCCACAATGTATTTTCTACAACTTCCTTCTATCTGTTTTTCTGGCAATTACCTTTGTTATGTTAAGAAACTTCCTGGTGACTTTAGTCAACTTGTAATCAATCATGTCACTTGATGGTTGGGGCTTTGGGCTTTTAAGGACTACCTCTTCGCCTTACCTTCTCTGTAGACCTACATAGCATCTACCTGTGGCAGTCACTTCCGCTTGTCTCCCAACATCCATTTTTCCTTTATCAAGAAACCTGTTTTTAAGCTGAGCACCATGCTGGCTAGGGAATGGGTGACATCTCATTGGTGAAATGCTGGTGAAGGTGATACAAGCAGAAATTCTGGGAAATTTCGTTAAAAAGAAAGAAGTGACCTTTTCACGGTCTTTTCTTCCTTCTTTCCACCAAGAAAAGGGAAGTGAAAGCTGATGCTCTAGCCATTTTTAGATCATTGAGTGACTCTGGGAAAGCTATCTACATACTCATGGAAACAAATTAATATACCAAATAGGAATTGTTGTCTCTGTACTTCTTTGACATGTGAAGTAAGTTTCACATATCAAAATTCAATAGTGGCTTAAACCACCACTTTTTCAGATGCTAGAAATTGAATCCAGGGTCTCAAGAATATTAAATACATGTCCTACCACTAAGCCACATCATTAGCCTTTGAAAAAAATACAAGCAATATACATTCATTCATTCACTCATTACTGTATATTGAGAATCTACCCAAGTTATCTTATATTGAAAAACAAAACGAGTAATGGTACAATTACTTCCATATACACTTTGTGAGTTTGGACTTAGTCTAGCCATAAACCAAATATTAGATTCCCTTATTTGGTTCTTTCTGAGATGTGTACTAACTTATGTATGCAAGGGACAGTCATAGGCTGGGCACTGATCACTAAACACTGCTGGTTGATGATTATACACAGGGAACCATCTGGATGACCGTCAGTGAGAAACGATTCAATAAATGGGCAGTCAAGCTTATGACAGTCACAGGTAGTGATAAGGAAAGGTCACCAAGGTGATCATTAGCTGCATAAAGCAAGCTATAGGACATCCAGAATGAAACTATTACTCAGAACACCAATGCAAATTAAATATACACAGGGTGCATTCCCATATAAGGCAGAGGCTATATTCACACTAGTGGTACTCTGAGGGCACTGACAGTACAGGACAGACCGTGTCCACGGTGCCTCTTGTTGCAGTTTGAATCATCCCTAGTGAGGACATATATCTATCTTACCCACGTGACTAATATTCTTTTTAAAGACTACAGGTATACATAAGCAGGGAATAGAGAGATGAATTTGTGGTGGAAAAGTAATGGAGAGATCAAATAGTTTTCTATCTCAGGTTCTGATAGGGTTATGACCCCTGACAAAGGAGTTTTCTCCAGACCATTAACCTACAGCTTGCTGAGGTCTCACTAATGTATAACTTATTCTTCCCTGTTACTCATGTTAGTAGTGTCAAATGATATCACATAGATGTTCATAGATACAGTACCCAAAGCATGTTCTAAGTGGACAAATGAAACATACCTGTCTTCTATTCAGGGTGCCCTTATGTGTTGCAGTCTTTCTGAGTGGCTGTGATAGACTGATATACCATAAACTGGATGGTTTAACAAGAGAAATTTCCCAGGATTCTGTAGGCTTGGGAAGTCCAAGATCAAGGCACCAGCAGACTTAGTATCTGATGAGGAAGTCTCTTGATTGCTGTCTTCTCCCATTTGTGCCAGTTCTGCCTTGACAACCCGTTACCTTCTGAAGACCCACCTCCAGGTATCATTACACTGCATCAGGAACCAGCTTTTAACGTTTGGTCATAACGTTCTATTACAACTTGATCTTTCTGGGGGCTGGAGAGACAGCTCAGAGGTTAGGAGGACTGGTTTCTCTTCTAGAGGTTCTGAGTTCAATTCCCAGAAACCACATGGTAGTGATTCAATCTGGTGCCCTCTTCTGGCCTGCATGCATACATGAAGGCAGAACACTATACATAATAAATAAATCTTAAACAAACAAACAAAAAACCTTCGATCCTTCTGAGGGTGAGGAGGAATAAAACCTCTGGAACAACTGGATGTAGATGTGGGGGGGGTTAAAGTTCAATGAGAATTCATCCAAGGCTACAGTGAACAAATACATTAATTTGTCTGATAAATCCTAAACCATCTTTAGATTCTGGCTCACTTAGGAAAATGGTTATTAAGCATGTAGCATGTTGAGGAGTTGGGCCACTTCATGTAGAACGCACCCCAAATTTGTTTTCCTTTTGGGACTCCCAGTCTAGTCTGGAAGTATTGGTAAATGTATAAAAAACAGTTCATAGCCACAAAACATCAGTGAAAGCCCAGGAATGGTGTCCCCCCCCCCCCAAACCAGCAGCATCACCACTTCTTTGGTTGCAACATCACGTGATGTGATGGCATCAGAGACCCTACATTCTAAAATCTGCGTTTTAAATAGTTCCCGGGGGTGACTTAGATGCTTATAAAGGCTAGAGCAAGGATGCAGTGTAAGATTATGGAATGACACCAAACTCATTCCCTGGAAAGCTGTCCGAGAAATTTTCTTTCAGGTTGGCAGGCTGGGGGCTCAATTATTGGGCAGACCCCTAAGAAGAGGAAGTGAGGCCAAAGGCAGAGGGGACAGGGAGACTTAAGATTCTGTAAGAAGACATAGAAAATCTTAAGTACGCGGTAGGATTAAATTCTTGTGTCTGAACTTAATCAGGGAAGATGAAACACACAAAGGAGATGTCGGGATCCGCAGATATAAGTCCTTAAAGGAGCGGATTCAATTCTGCACTAGAGAGGAAGTCTCATTCACTCCTGGGCAGGAAAACAAAAAACAAAAAAACAAATAAAAAAAATTCCAGAAGGGTTCCAGCTACAACTGAATGTAGGTTCTATCTCATTAGTATGGTCCCCAACTAGTAAGACCAGAGAATTGTTTAAGATGCAAATTCTTCGGTTACATTCTAGAGGTGCAGAAGCCAGAACTAAGAAATCTTTTAAACAGGCTCTCCAGGTGATTCTGACGCCACTGCTGGAGCCTGCTAAACACCCTGTGGCAAAGCCGTAAAGGCTTAGAATTGCCACAACTTGCCCTTTGTCTTGAGGGGGAATAAAACCTACTGGGAACCACGTCTGCTACGGACGCAGAACAAAAGCTACTTCGGGTAGATTTCAAATAGCGCCCAGAAAGTAGAAACAAAGAAACACAATGACCATTTTGTCCAAAAGCCTTCTATCTAGAGAATTAAAAATTTTGTTAGAGATCGTGATCGTCGCCTAAATTAAGTCCAAAAGTTAGGTAATCATCCATCGTCTTACGAGTTCCTTTTATTAGCTACAAAAAAAACCCCAAACAACGCTAGGATTCTTGGTGGCCCTCTGGAAGCTGGGTTTCCGTGCAACCACCCTTTAGGAAAACACAATTCCCCAGAGAGAAGCCCCCCCAGCGCAGCGGAGGGGCCGGATCCACAGCCCCAGGCCACGCGGCGTCCCCCACGCATCCCCGCGGGCCACTGGGCCTCCTCCCAGCCGGCTCGGAAGATAAACAAATCACTCCTGTTTTCCAGCCCTGAAATTAGCGCTGACTCACACAGCACTTTGAACAGCCACTGTCGCCTCAGGAAGGAGGAAAAATGTGCAGATTTTTCCTCTCACGCGACGGCCCGACGTGCCGGGCTGACCAATCAGCACAGGATGGTGGGAACAGCACCAAAGTAGGTAAAAAAATTCGAGATGCGGGCCCGGAGCGCTGTTCAGCGAGCCCTCCCCGCCTCCCCGGCATCCCCTCCCCCGCCCATGCCGCAAGCCGAGCGAGCTCCCGCCCACCGGCGCTCGCCCCGCCCACTCCGCGCTCCGGCCCCGCCCCCGGCGGCGCGCACACCTGGCCAGGTGGCGACTTCCATGTATGGGCAACAGCCGCGCGGTGGGCGGGGCATCGCGTAGTCCCGCCTCCAGGGCAGGGCCATCCTCCCTGGAGCGTCCTTTGCCCGCCCTTCACTCAGGAACTGCCCGGCGCTCCCCAGGGCGGGGGAGCCATGCACTCCCCTGACTCAATCGCCGGAACGAGGTTTCCAGCCGTCTGCAGACTGCCGGGCCTCCTGGGTGGGGCCTGGCGGGAGAGGGGGGCGGAGGGAAGGGCTGTTGCATAGCAACGGCGGGCGGAGCGCAGCGCGCGCAGGCGCAGTCTCTCTGGAACCCGTGCAGCCTGCCCCTTAATAGGCTCGAGCTGTCCCATCCGCCTTGCGCTCGCTCTCCTAGTCTTGCTACGGCGAGGAGGACGCTGCACAGACTTTGCCGCCAGGCTCCTAGCTCTCGTCTCAGAAGTCCGCCGCGGCGAACATGGTGAGTGACCCGCAGCTCGGGCGTCCGACGAGGGAGGGACCGCGTCCCGCGGCTCCAAGGCAGCTCCCGGGCCGCCGCCCGGGATCGTCTCCGGCCCGGCCTCGCTGCCTTGGATCCCGAGGTCTGTAGGTCCCCGGGATGGGCCGCGGAACCCGGGGACCGTCCGTGTGGGCGCGGTATTCCCCAAGGCCAGCTCAGTGACCCATGAACCTTTCCAGCCCTTTCCACCGAGAAGGAAAAGAAGGATTTTATTGAACACCCTAGAGGGCGGGGTGATGGCTAGCGAGCGTGATTAAGAACAGGGTGGCCTTGCCGTGGCATTGTTTGTCGTATCTGGCAATCAGCTTCAGTGGCACTCTCGTTGGGCTTGTCAAGCTTGGCAGTGTCTCTTTTAACCCTTCCCTACCGGGTCCGTCCATCTGTAGCTAGAAATTTGCCTTCGCCTGAGAACATGGCTTTACCACAATTCTGGGTGCAAGGGGTGAACGTGATGTTGCTTTCCTGATGCAAATTTAAAAGCTTTCAAAAGGTCCATTTAATTACTCCAGCCCTTTAATAAGAGAAACATTCGTTGTATTGAGATGATGGAGATTTTGTGTAATTTACAAACTTCTCTACTTCTAAACTGTTATTCTAATCTGTTGTAAAACAGTATCTCAACTGGGCAATCAGGTAGACCATTTTGTCGTTGTAGTCTGCATACACTGTTACCATTTTTGGTCAATGATTTGCTGGCAAGGCCTTGCCACACTGCTAGAAATATTATCCTGTTGCTGCATCTGTGCGCTTGGAAGCAGTTAGTGCCCACTTATCTGTCTACAGAATGTTTTCACTGAATAACAACTTTGATTTTCCTGAGGATGTAGCAACTGGCTTGCAGGTGCAGGCTGGCTCGTTAGATTAAATGGGTAGTTTTCTTGATAACTGACCATGCTTAATAGTGTCGTGATAGTAAGTCTTGTTCTTCTTTGGGTTTAATGCTGTATCAGCTACAAATAGGTCAGGCCCTGAAGTCTTTGAACCTCTTCAAGATTTGAAATGTATCTGTATGTAGTGGTTTATAGTAAAGACTTGATCTAAAAAGGCTTTGAGTTCTGATAAGTTTGAGCACTCAGTGTAATGAAGTGCTGTGAAGTGAACTGGTGCCTGCTCTCCAGTCTGCTGATGCAACATCTTTTCTTTTAGTTGAGAATGAAAACTTCATATTTACAATAGGGCCAAACATTTTAAAAGTGTAAATGCTTAGTTTTAAAGCTTAACTTTCCAGTGTACATTCAAACAAAATGAAAGAGGAGTGAGTTGTATTTCCTGGTACTAGAGGGAGAGAGAAAAACTAAAGGTGGATTCATTCTTATATCCAAGTGCTAATATAGTTATTATGGTTTGAGGACGTGGGTGCAGGAATGCCGTGGCGTTTTGTGGAGTCAGTTCTCCTTTCACTGTGGACTCTGGGTATTGAACTCAGCTTGTCAGACTCGCCTGGCAAGTGCCTTCACCTGCTCAGCCATTTCACCAGTTCTGGGTGTGTTTTCAGCATGAAGATTTCAGAACACAGACTCTATGTTTGCTTTTATAAGCATAGAACATCTCCATTCAGTCCAGCCACTAGAGAATACTAGAGAGAGACAGTTTCTCCTTTATTATCCCAGATTCTAGCCCTCTCTATATTTGAAACTTTTAGGTTTTGTTGGTGAGCTGTTTGGTGTCTTTTTCTGAGGCAGGATCTCACTCTGTGATCCAGAATGACATGGAACTCACTGTGAAAAGCCCAGGCTAGACTTGGACCTGGGCTTGCAATAGCATCCTGCTCTCTTAGCCTCCTGAGTGCTGGGATTATAGGTGTCAGCTAATATGCTTAGCTTCTCCCCTCTTTCCTTTGGTTTTTCGAGACAGGGTTTCTCTGTGTAGCCCTGGCTGTCCTGAAACTCGCTTTGTAGACCAGGCTGGTCTTGAACTCAGCAGAGCTCCACCTGCCTCTGCCTCCCGAGTGCTGGCATTAAAGGTGTGGGTCACCATTACCTGGCTCCTCCTTTTCCTTTTTTTGGGATAATAGTGGAGAGATTAAAGTTTAACTGTAGATGGGTTTGTTTTAAATTAGAAGAATTACTTCCTGGTACTCATTAAGTCTTCTAGAAGCAGTTGGAATAAAGGAAGTTGAAATTAGAAAAATGAGATGTCATGTTTTCAGATGTCTCGCTACAAAATATCACCATAAATGTCTTTAAAATCCCCTCCCCACAGGGGGAAAATGTACCCTCTGTTTGCACATGCCAAATAAAATTTCTGTGTGTGTGTGTACTGGGTGTGTCAGCTTCCTCATATGTGCAAAGATTACTTGCCAGCTCACCATTAAATTCCTAGCTTTATTTGCTCAGTTCTTTTGGGTACAGCTTGACACATCACATGTAGATTTGACTAGCCTTTTCTTTAATCAAGGAATGCATTTGCAGCATAGTTTTGTGGCTCTCTGGAAAGTAGGGTGTAGTCTTGCCTTGAAATAGAGTTACAGAATATGTGCTAATATAACCCTTAACTTTACACAGAATTCTTCTCCAACAAACTGAGCTAGTTGACTTGGACGGAATTACCAACTTATTCTGCACTTGGTGATTCGGAAAAATACTTTTAACGACTCAGCTAAATAGGTTGGATATACATTTGTGTGCTCTGCGCAAACCCCCCCCCCCTCTTGGTTTTTCAAGGCAGGGTTTTTCTGTGTGGTGCTGGCTGTCCTGGGGAACTCTCTGTGAACCAGATTGGCCTCAAACTTAGATCAGTCTGCCTCTGACTCCCAAGGACCACCAGACTTTGTGTGCCCATTTAACATGAGAAAGCAGATTGTAACAGATCAATTATCTCCTACAAATCACTTTTTCTTCTTTTACGTCCATCTTTAAAATGATTAATTTTGAAGCATTTTAAGCGGTGCAGAATAAAGATCCCTTTTATCAAAAGAAAAATCATGATTTGGGGGGGGGTCATTTTTGGGTATTTGTTATCACTGCACCTAAATGTACATCTTCCTAGTTAGTCTCTTTCCTCCCTAAAAGGTACCATTCCTGTGTCAAAGATCTTAAGGGACTGGCCCAATAGGAAATGATTTCACTCAGGATGTTGCAAATTCAGAGAACGTTCATGATGGAGAAACTTCTCCAAGAAAAAGATTTTGAACCTGGGCAGGTAACCCAGAGAGTCTTGAGGAAGGATATGAACAGATCTTGACAAAGAATATACAATAGGCCTTTCCTTTCTTCTTTTCTTTATTTTTTAATAATTGAGATGGTCTCACTGTGTAGCCCAGGCTGGCCTCAAACCTATAGAGATAAGCCTGCCTCTGCCTCTCGAGTGCTGGGATTAAAAGGCCGGTCCTTGGGTGCAAGGTTCAGGTCCATTTCACCACAGCCATCTGAAGTTGATAGATTTCATTCTTTGACACTTTTATGCGTTAAAAAAAAAAATCATTCATGTGTGTGGATACCTATATGTCTGTGTGCCATGTGGGTGCAGTGTCCCATACAGGTCAGAAGAGAGCGTCAGATCCCTTGGAGCTGGAGTTAACAAATGGTTGTGAGTTGTCATGTTGGAATTGACCCCAGGTTTTCTGCAAGAGCAGAAACTGTTGAGCCATCTCTCCAGCCCCTTCACTTTCCATGCTTTTAAGTAGACATAAACACATTCACGCTGCATTAATGTGTTCAATTTTATATATATGCTATACCTTGCCCAGCCCCTGTCAGCTTTTTTTTTTTTCTTCATTTTTTTGTGTTCTTTTGGGGAGGGCATTGTTTTTTATTACATTTACTTAATTTGTTGTGTTGTTTACACATGCTTGCTTAGGTCTATGTGTAGAAGTTAGAGGACAACTTGCTGGAATTGGTTCTCTCCTTCTTCCGTGGGTCCTGGGCATTGAATTCAGCTTGTCAGATTTGTGGGCAAATGCCTTTACTCTGAGCCATCTCACCAGCCCAGGGTGTTGGGTTGAACTACTGGATATTAGTCCACTATAAAACTGTACAAGTTCATTCATCCTTCTATTAGTGGACATTTGGACATTTCTCCAGTTAATTCATCCATTTAAACTTTTTACCATAGTTGGTTTCCATATAACATTACTTACTTACTTAATTAATTAATGTTACTTGTCCAGTCCCTGTGTGTCTCTCTTGAGACACCTAAGAGACCCTTGAGTGGAGAGCATGCATATGAATTTTATCCTCCTCTTGGTATCTTTTACTTTGCATCCCATTATCTATAGCCTTTTGGTGGCTTGAATAAGAAATGTCCCTTGTAAGCTCATGTTTTTGTACACTCGACTCCCAGTTGGTGGAAATAACTGATACATGCCTCCTTTCTATTTCTTTTCACCTAATTTGAGCCTTAAATCCCTTGCCTATCTGATGTGTAGAAAATGGTTTCTATGTTTGACAATTAGTGCTACTTTTTGTATATATTGTACTTTTTTTTAAATTGATGCTGGGCATGGATCCCAAAGCCTCACCACATAATGCTAGGTAAGCAAGGTACCACTCTGCTCCACATCAGCTTGCATCTTATGTTTTTATATGTCTGATATACCTGTGAACCTGACTTCATCTCAGCTGGCTTTAGAGCTACACACTCAATCACTGACCAAAACACAAACAAAAAACCCAAGAACATGATTGTCAATGCTGGGTCCTCATACCATGGACTGGTATTCCTCCCTGTGTGTCTTTCCAGGCATCTTAAGCTGCTAAATCACAGAGGACAAATGCTTCCTCTTTATTTCACCTGCCATTTTCAGGCTTCTGGGGTGATGGACTGTAGACTAGATAGTTCCTTCTTAGTTGGGGGCTGCAGAGATTAATCTCCTCCATTCTATACTTGTCTCTTTTTCCTGGGCAGTTCATTTAGCCAGAATATTAAAAACAAATGGAGAGATGGTGCCATAATGAAGAGCACTTGCTGTGTTTGCCGAGGACCCAGGTTCAGTTCCCAGCCCCCCCACTAGGTGGCATACA